TCAGAATAAGGCTGCGATATCCGGTTCGTCAATTATGCGCGTGGATGGGGGGTCCAAAGCCTGTTCAGTGTTTAGAATTAAAATCTTCATTTCAAAATAGTTATAAGGATACCAACAGAAAACACGCGTTACCAGTGGGTAATGTCCTGAGTTGCAAAGGTACCTCTCCCAAAGAAAAATGCAAGAAGAGTTAGTACCGCGCACCGGTGAATATAGGAAAAAGGTGCCAGTCCAATGCGCATTGCATTTTTCCTCAGTTTGTAAATATAACTGATCAGTAGTATAGTTTCCATTTATCTCAGAACTGCATAAGATTGTAATTTCGGTTTCTTTAGTTGCAGCGCAGCGAAAGGACAAAATTGCTTGAAATCGACCTCGCTTACATGTTTTATTATAGTGTCATGCAAATGATAAAAGTTAACCGTGAAACGAGCAGTTGCATAAATTGCGTCGCTAGAACAGTAAGACTGAATAATTACTACTTTTATTATTATTATTATTATTATTATTATTATTATTTACAACAGTACTACAACTACTAACACTTGAATAATTACTACGTCTATGCGAAGCTTAACACTCACACTGAAGACTATAAACACTAGTTTATATATACTAGCTTATAAACACTAATTTATATGTGGTATAATCAGATAATAAACAATGGAACAGTAACCATAAACCTGATGAAAAAATAAATACAGTTTGCAGAAAATATCTAGCCTGATCCCTGTTTCCTTTAACCCTGACACGTCTACGAAAAATTACAATATACTTTATCAAACAGGACGATTCCATCTCTGTACTACTCAGTTCTGTTTTCTCAGAAAACTGTTTTTAGCTCTCCGGCTTCGCGAAATGGAAGCAGCTCTCAATTATAATCTAGATAACTTTTTGCAATCTCATTTAAACTAGGCCGCAGATCGGGAAAGCGGCGGAAATCGATCCTTATTTAAACAGACTCGACAGTTTAACTTGTCGTCGTCCCTGAGAAACAACGCCGCCGAAGAATCGAAATAGAGTCACCCTTGAAGTCCTCTCCTAAATCTCGTGTTGGATATTTTCTTCCCTCCGTTAAGCCCTCATATTTGTCGTTGATTTTAGTACTTGTATGTGATATGAACACGATGCGGAAAGAGTCCACAAACGATCGCCTGTTAACGTTGGAAAAACAGATTAAGGTTTTGTCAGTAAGTGAGAGTTGTGACGAGACAGGTTCGCCATCGAATGCAGACGACGAAATGTCCGATAAACCGATCGCGGATTCGGTGATACTTGTAAGAAAGACTGCGAAATCTCTTGAAAAGAACCTTTACTTCCCCAAGGGTAAGATCATTCTTAAAGTGATAAATCTTGATTGTCCTAAAACTGGCCGTAATCTGTTTCATTGATCGTATCACATACCGTCAAACAACTAAGTTCTTTCGAATAATGTATGGAAAGAGCTTAAATGAGAAAAAGACTCTTCGGTATTTTTGCAATTTTACTGCCACTTAGAAATATGTTTAATTAACCTTTCTGTCTGATCTTTGGAACTATTGTGCTGAGAGCAAATATAGCTTTTGACTAACGGTAGTGCAGGAAGCACAAAACTGAAGCAATCAGCATAATTATGGTTCTGATTTTGGGGGTTCAATACAAGTTTTCTTTTGAATAAAATACTACGAAAGGTCTCACTTACGCTTGGCTTGACACAGTCAGACTTGTAAGTAAGATATGACGATGCAAGGAAAATTCTGCCAACGATGTTAATGTGATGTGTTTTTTCGCATAAAAATTAAAGAGTTCAACCTCTCTTAGTAACAGGACAGAATATGAACCGGAATTTGCATCGTTTTATCAAACTTGCCGGTCAAACTGTCACGCGAATCACGTATTAAGGAAAAGTGGAAACTGTGCAAGCGGTGTCAATGAGACGTGTTTATAGCATAACTATTCAGATGGAATAACCTCTCTGAGAAGAATGTAGAAATATGAACTCCAATTTGAATCACCTGTTTCATTCAATTCATGTTGTACTCATGTCACACGTCTTGTTTTTGGTGGCTTTGCAGCCCGAGTGGGGGTTCCCATAAAAAAAAAGATCTAAAAAGGACAGGGGTGCTCGTCGTACCTTTCAGGGGTTAAAATAACGTTTTTGGTACCTCTTTGGGTGTTCAGCCTCAAAAAGTCCACAGCGGGAGCTTTCTCGGTACCTTTTAGTGTATTGATAGAGACTTATGACAATGCTTTCATAAATTTTACGAGTAAAAGGTACTCGAAGCAGTCGTCTTCATCGTTGTTCTGAAAATGATGAAAGTGTGAGTTATTGAGTTGACTTAGAATCGGCACCTCTAAGGGGTGAAAAAATTAAAGCCACACCCAAAAAACAGGATCTTGGTACCTTCTTTCCCAAATTTTCGATGAGCATCCACGTCCTATTTATATGGGAGTGCCCCGCTCCCACCTCCCCTCCGGGCTATGCAGTCATAGCTGCTCATTTGCCTTATGGCGTCAGAGCGCTGAAAGCCATGACGGAGACTTTTCAAATTTACCGTTGCAGCTCCGCATTGTTAACACTAAAATGATTTCGGATGTTCTAGCAGTTTGCAATTTCTGACTGGGAGTTTTCAGATTGTCAATGATAAACTCGGATGTCTGTAGCTAGCAGTCTGGGTAATATATTAAAATACACGGCATAAATCTGTTTGTAATTACTGAACAGGAAAAAAAGTAGTTTTTCCAGAAAAAATCTGGCCCCGATTCGTCTGCGAACATTTTCCATATCGTTTCCATCGTTACTCATCATTAAGAACTGTTAATGTCAATCAATAAAGGTTTCAGCAAAAATATGTTTAGAATTCATATTAGTCTTCCGATCTCCAACGATTGCAATCCTAGCTTAAAAAATGCTGAGGTCAAAATCTTTATCTGCATACGTGCTTAACCTCTAAATCTTTGCTATATCTTGTTTATCTGTCCACACGGGTTATGAGTGATTAGTTTTTTTGGCAGTCTTCCACTGCCTTCGTCTCCCTGTCGTCCCTGAAAAACAACGCCGCCGAAGAATCGAAATGGAGTCACCCGCGAAATCCTCTGCCAAATCTCATCGTGTTGGAGATTTTCTTCCCTCAGTTAAGCCCTCATATTTGTCGCTGATTTTAGTACTTGTATGTGGAATGAACCT